GAAGAGCGTGTCAAACAGTCCCCCTTGCCTCGTGGGCCCGGCCCAGCTCCCCCCCAGTACACCAGCTGGTATAGCTGGGGGAGGCTGCGAGGTGGGAGGGCTCCGATCCACCGTTAGGGTAACTTGTCATATTTTATGCTTTAAAGTTGAACCTGTTTATAGAGTTGTGAATTACAGTATTGTTTAAAGTTTTCTTTTATATTCAGCCTTATTTAATCATTACATAAGTTTTTTATAGCCTCATTATTATCTGAACTTTTCCTTTTGCTGGTGTCTGCAATCAGCTGGCCTTGCCTCTTGCAAACAGCTTATGGCCTTGAGTTTGCTCACATGATGTTTCTTTCCTTTTCTATCATTATGAGAAGTTTTTCTAACACAACATAGTAATAATTTTGTTACCAGCTCAAATTAACAGAACTTGGCAGTAACCGGCTGAATCAGAGGGATGAAATAATTGGATATGTTAATGAAAGGTGATAAGGGAGACCAATGGACAATGCCCAAAGACACCAGAAAAATACCATATTAAGAGGTGTGCTTGTGATGGGTCTGTTAGACAAAGGAATATGCTGACAGGATAAAAGATGGACAGTATGCTGACCGCAGAGAAACCAATCTGAAAGCTAAGAGTCATCAAAGGAGTGAAGATGAAGAAAAGCATAAAGGGGGCAGCAAGAAACTTTGTTGTCGTTATCATAAATCCAACCTTCAACACCTGTCTGGATCATCCCAGCCCACATTCTACCCTTTGCTTCCAGGAACTGAGTGGCCATCTTTTCTGTTGAGCAAAGTAACATCTTGGATTGGGTGAGATTATTGTACTGCATGTTTGTCTCTCTCTGAATATAGAAACTGCTAAGATAACACTTGTTGTATTAATAAAGTTAGACTTTGATTTTAAGACACTGAGTTGTCTGCATTTAACTAGACTTGGATTTTAGGACACTGAGTTGTCTGCATTCATATTTCCCGTTCCACTTAAGGGTTAATTGTGCCGATCTCTCAGCACTATCTGGGAGACAGTGGTGCTAACACCCTCCCAACAACCCCCTCCAGCTCAGGTGGGCAAAGCCCAGCTAGCAGCTCAGTGCTGCTTGCTTTGACCTCCTTCCCTGCTGACAGCCTGGGAGCTGGGAATGGGGCTGAGGTGCACCTTCCTGCTGGCCAGGAGGGCCAGTGCAGGCCAGCTTGATCACCCCCAGACTGAACAGACGAATGTCTGCTGGGTTGGGACGGTGCTCTAAATCATGGTGCTTTATGTAAAATGCTATGAGTTAGAGCCGGGGGCTGAACATCTTTCTACGCCCTATGTCTCCAGTCTCGGTGAAAAATCTGTATCCCCTTGACTTGTAAACTCTGTATTGCCTTGACAACTGGCATTCAGACATTTTTATGCAGATGTCAATGGTCCAACAATTTTCTGATTCCTCACCTTCTTGAAGTCTTCTTCGGCAATCCCTCACAGTCGAGGATGATTTGTCTTCTATGAATGTCTTATCTGTGGGTCCAAAGATGGCTGACAAGGCTGATCCAGGATCGACAGATTGATGCAACTCCGGCCCGTGTTTCCGTGTTGGGTGGGTAGCTCTGGATTCCTGATTCAGTCCATGATGCTGTTTCTGCCGCTCCCACTTTTTCCTCTCATGTTGTTGTTGTTGTAAGGTTTCAAAGTACTGAGATCCTTGCAGCATCCTTCCTTGAGATTCTTCCTCCATTTGGGGTGGTCCTGGGTGATAGCTTCCCAAGAGTTGATGTTGATGTTGCATTTTTTTGAAGTTGGCCTTGAGGATATTCTTGAAGTGCTTTCTCTGCCCTCCTCTTGAGCATATGCCTTGACTGAACTGGGATAATAATTATCACTACTGTCATCCATGAGTTCATTTTGTGCTATCTGCTCTTTGTTCAATCTTTATTTTTTTGTAGGCAAGGAGGATATTTTGGTGAAAACAAAGTTTGCATCAGTAGAGAAAATAAACTGGAGCTTAGTATCAAGGTACCGTCAGGAAAATGGGAAAATATAAAGAAGCAACAACAGTGTTGGTCAGCCTGATATTCAATGGCCAGTCACTCAGCATTTTAACCGATTCTTGAGCAAGAGTTCATACAAGCTCGATTTACCTCCTATCATTCCTTATTTTGAATCCATTATTATCTCCCTTCTTAAGTTAACTATCCCAGTCTTTTCAAACTTATTCCAGTGCCTCTGTTGATTCTTATAGATTCATAGATGTTAGGGTCGGAAAGGACCTCAATAGATCATCGAGTCCGAGCCCCTGCATAGGCAGGAAAGAGGGCTGGGTTCAGACGACCCCAGCCAGATGCTTATCTAACCTCCTCTTGAAGAACCCCAGGGTAGGGGAGAGCACCACCTCCCTTGGGAGCCCGTTCCAGACCTTGGCTACTCTAATTGTGAAGAAGTTCTTCCTAATGTCCAGTCTAAATCTGCTCTCTGCTAGCTTGTGGCCATTATTTCTTGTAACCCCCAGGGGCGCCTTGGTGAATAAAACCTCACCAATTCCCTTCTGTGCCCCCGTGATGAACTTATAGGCAGCCACAAGGTCGCCTCTCAGCCTTCTCTTGCGGAGGCTGAAGAGGTCCAGGTGCCTTGGTCTCTCCTCATAGGGCTTGGCCTGCAAGCCCTTAACCATTCTTCTCCCCCATCTCTTTTTATTTCTGCTTTCTCTCTCTTTTTGAGGTTCAGTTACCCACTTGGGTACATCCAGGTCAGGATATACATTTACACATCAACCTTATAATATTTATGGTGGTACTTTCTCAAATTCCTTATGCATCCCAACATGGGTGGAGCTAGGATTGTGAAAAGCCAGGGTGCAGATGGTGTGCTGCCTCATCACATTACACACGTCACCTTTTTCTCCAGTTAAAACTGACCTAGAAGCTTTACTAATATGTTAGGGGCTTAGCAGCTGTATCCTTCAATTTAAGATGGAAGCAAATCTCACTTCGTTGAAAAGAGTTAAAAAAAAAACAATTGGCCGGGCTGTGAAATAGGAGTGGCATTACCAGGAGCAGCAAAGAGAGAGCATAATTGGGGAAGAGAGGAGAGTTTGCTTAGGGAAACATCAAGACGTGTGGCGATGTGTAGGGGATGCACATGCACCCCCTGAGAGCACTGTTGCACCCCCGACCAGCCAGCACTCCCGGGGGGACGGGGCAGGTGAGAGCACTGGTCTCCCCCCGGAGCGCCGGGCAGGAGTGGGGGTGCCAGAAGCGGTCCCCCAGCAGCCAGAAGTGCCAGCGGAGATCGCCCGTGGGGGAGATCAGCTGCAGGGGGACCCCTCCACCCTGGTTGCTGACAGCCTCCGGAGGCACCAGTCTCCCATGGTCAAGACCATTAAGGAGGCAGAGCGGGTTGCTGACACCTGCGGATCGAAGCTAAGAAGGGATCCGGGGTCAGCCGTGAACTCAAGCGACTCCCGCAGCACTGAACGCCGCCAGGCAGCTGCTTATACACTTTGGGTGGAGCAGAAATCAACGCGGCCACCCTGGTTGCTGACAGCCTCCGGAGGCACCAGTCTCCCATGGTCAAGACCATTAAGGAGGCAGAGCGGGTTGCTGACACCTGCGGATCGAAGCTAAGAAGGGATCCGGGGTCAGCCGTGAACTCAAGCGACTCCCGCAGCACTGAACGCCGCCAGGCAGCTGCTTATACACTTTGGGTGGAGCAGAAATCAACGCGGGGGGGAGGGACGGAGGGAGCCTCGGCCCCTGCATCCTGACACTTCAGTGGCCGCGGGGGCCTCCAGCCCTGGTGCGGGCGCGGGACGGCGCTGCTGGCTCCTCGAGTACGGGCCCCCGGG